TCATTTGATGTAATCAAACAGGCTGCTGGAAGGCATGGCATAGAGCCTGCAATATGCAGATGGATCAATGCTATGCTGGAAAGCAGAACCATAGCTGCTACATTATCGGGAGAGACCCTGGGGGCGTCCGTGGCTAGGGGATGTCCGCAGGGGGGCGTACTCTCGCCTCTGCTGTGGAGTCTGGTCGTCGACGATCTCCTGTGGGGACTTAATGATGATGGGTATTATACAGTAGGATATGCTGATGACATAGCAATCCTCATAAATGGAAAATTCCTTTCGACCGTATCAGAGCGTCTTCAATCAGCTCTATACATGGTCCAACGATGGTGTGAAAGAACAGGTCTTTCCATCAATCCCAACAAGACGGTAGTTATACCGTTTACTAGGAAGAGAAATATAAAGGGTCTTAAGGAACCCACACTCTTCAATAAGACAATCCAGCTCTCCAGCGATGTCAAGTACCTTGGACTAGTATTAGACAAGGGACTGACATGGAGAAAGCAGCTGGCCAAAGTTATTAACAAAGCCTATAAGGCTTTTTGGACATGCAGGGGCATGTTTGGTAAAACTTGGGGACAACAACCGCACATTGTACATTGGGTATATACTGCGGTTGTGAGACCCATAATTACTTATGGTGTCACGGTATGGTGGCCCTGAGTTAAATTCAAGACTAGCAAGACAGAACTTGGCAAATTGCAAAGGTTGGCTTGCTTAGGTATAACAGGAGCATTTCAAACATCTCCAACAGCTGCACTGGAGATACTTCTTGGACTCCCCCCACTGCATATAAAGTTGGATGCGGAGGCCAAGGCAGGAATTTACCGTCTCCAGTGCAGTGGACAATGGAAACCTAGATCTGATGGTTTCGGTCATGCAGACATGACTCAGGACATGAAAAAAGAACCCATGTTGCAAATGGGGTCTGACAACATGATACTGACCCTTCACGGTCAGATTTCCTGACAGGAGTGAATCGGAAAATGGGTTTCAGCCCAACAGAAAAGGGGGACTGATCTGGTATACAGATGGTTCCAAGACAAATAAGGGCACTGGAGCTGGTGTGTACTGCCATGGCACGAGGCGGAAACTTAGTTTCCGCCTTGGGCGGTACACAACAGTATTCCAGGCAGAAGTATATGCCATTAAAGCATGTATTATGGAGAATTTAGATAGGAACTATAGAAATAGGAACATCTACATTCTATCTGACAGCCAAGCTGCACTTAAAGTGCTTGACAAACACCAGATTAATTCAAAATTGGTCTGGGATTGCCACCAAACCCTCATGGAACTGGCCAAACATAACAGGGTACAACTGATATGGGTGCCAGGGCATGGGGGTATTGCTGGAAATGAAGCAGCAGACCAATTAGCTAAAATTGGGGCTGAACACCTGTTCATAGGACCTGAACCAGCCTGTGGCATCTCTCTAGGAGTTGCCAAACAGGCAATCAGGGACTGAACTGATACTGATTCATTGGTAAAATTTGTATGCACATCACTGCTGGTGGTGCACCAGTCACCATGAAGTGCACAGCTGCGAACCGGTCAACAAAGGCAAGAACCTCGCTGCAGAATTCATATGAAGTTTCAAGGAAATTAGTCAGATAGTTTAAAAATTGTTTTTGGGGAGCATACAAAAACATGCACCTGTTCCCTCACAAGCATGCATACACATCACTGGTCGCGGTGCATGGGGAAACCAACCCCCTCCAATAATAATAATAATAATAATAATAATAATAATAATAATAATAATAATAATGCATACACATAATGTTTCTCTTGTAAATTAAAGTAGGCAGGCCAGCATACACACCTGTTTTCAGTTCTCTCCCTTCCATAATAATTGCATCCATCTCTACTTCACCATCAACATTCAAAACAGAACCATATCCTACAAAAAAAAAGTATACTGCTATCATTCAGAGAGTTCCATTTCTGCACATACAGTGTGGTTGTGTTCATGTGAAGAATGCATTCCTGAAGACCTCAAATAATTCAAGACAAGTTTTGGAACACCTGTGATTCTTTCAGATTTTTCTGAGATTCACATTATTTCAAACTTTGTGCACAGAGTGATACTTTATTAATACACATACTTTTTACATCACTCTATTGCAAATTTGCATAAAATGCAATCACACTGTACTTTCCACTAGTACTGATTTTGAATATATTAAATTAGGAAGAATCCATCTCAGAAGTTTCATATTATCAGATGAGTGTAAATGTTAACATATAACATTTTAACATGGTCCATTAGTCACCACCACCATAAAGACAACTATATTGTAACGTGTTTTGCTACTGAAGATGCAGTTCGGATTGTTAATTGGTTTATTTAACAACCTACAAGTCTTGGCTACAATTAATTATAACACTGTTATGGGTTTGCACACTTTACAACCTTATACAATAATCTCTTCACACTATCTTCAGTAGTCTTCATGTATCAGTAACGCGGGAGCTATGCAAGTCCCTCTCAATTACACACTCCCAATATAACTGTACTACAGCACACAGTCTTGAAGTCACACAATAAGTCTTCACTTGCTGACTTCTCAGTTATCGCACATTATCACATAAGATTTTCTAACCATGCGTTCGGGTCTTCTTTCCGCAACTGCTACTATATTTCAACTGACTTTGGCGGCTGCTACATTTTAACTGACTCCTTAGGCAGTGTAGTTATCCTATAAACCCTCAGCCAGACAACGGAAAATGCCTCGCTTCCCTGTTGCCTAGTTGCTATGTTTACAGTTGTTGTCGCTTTTAACACTTTGCAGACCGGATGCCTAGGTCTAGGTGTTTGGGTTTTAAACGTGGCAGACCGGTCGCCTAGATTTAGGCTTTTATGACACGTTATGTTGTAACACACTATTCCTCGCTTTGGTGGCCACATGTCTGTAAAAGTACTGCGTAGCTGACCTTCGGAATGTTTGTTTTCTGAGTCAGCAACGTGACCACTCTCTATTCCCCTCTCACTCTTCAGAAAAGTCCCTTTGTTCAAGTCGAAGCTTCTATGTGTGAGGCAAGATATTCTCAGTGTCAACATGGCTCAGAGACAAAAGCAGTTGAAGGCTGTGCGAGCTCTCGGAGAAGAAATCTGTGATTTGATCTCTGATGAGTTATCTGACTTGCCAACTGCTTTGTCTTCTGATAGCGAGGGCAGTGTCAGTGGCAGTGACAGGGGCCCCCAAAATATTGTGACCAGAAGAGAAAGTGAAAGTGACAGTGAGAGCTTCGATGAAAGTGCGAGTGCTAGCATTGCGGGGACAGCCAGGTGGGGTAAAATGGACAAAACACCCACTTTGGGAAAGTGTACTGGTGATCCAGGGGTGAGACAAATGCCATCAGACCGTACGCAAGTGTCTGAAGTAGCTGAACTGTTTTTTGGAGATAGTTTCTTTGACATGTTGTGTCAGGAGACCAACAGATACTATCTCCAACAACGCGAGGCGTACGACAGTACCTATAAGGTGTTGAAGTGGGTGGATGTCACTTCAGCAGAAATGAAAACATTTTTGGCAATAATCATTCTAATGGGGTTTACAAAGAGGGATAATTTGAAAGACTANCAAGGCAAGAAATTGCAAGAAACTATTGTTTTCATTTTGGATCCCGATCGTTTATCAAGATAATTTTTATAACAGTGTGGCAACTGCAGAATACCTACTTCAAGGAAAGTACATATTTGTGGTACAATTAGGGTGAACAGAGACCTTCCTTCAAGAACAGATAAAAAAAGAGGAATGTAAATCCCTGAAACGTGGTGACACCACATTCAGGAGGAAGGGGGACATTCTTCTTCAGTCCTGGAGGGATACTCGCGTTGTGAATATGATTTCCACTATTCACAATTCGAGCATGGACGATGTTCAAAGATGACATGGGCAAGTGAAGAAGAAGCCTCTTTGTATTTCTCAGTACAATATGTTCATGAAGGGAGTTGATAGAGCCGACCAATACTTGGCCCATTAATCCCTTCCTAGGAAAACAGTAAAATGGACAAAGAAAGTTGCCTTGTGGCTTATAAACTGTGCCCTTTTCAATTCATTTTTGGTTTTCAAAGAGCTAAACGAAAATTCAACTTTGAAATACAAGGCATTTCTCATGAATGTGGCAAAAGCCTGGGCTACAGACCTCATGGTGGCTGCAGAACCTGCGTCAGACACAGATGTAGTACGACTGGGACTATCTACTCCCACCCCATGGAGGCCTCATATGGACCCCCCTGGGCGACTCTCGGGTGATATGTGGAAACATACCCTCGTGAAAATTGTGATGAGCGAACAATCAGCAGGGAAGTATCCTTCTAGGCAGTGCCGTGTGTGCGCTGTGCAAAAGAAGCGAAGCAAGACTTCTTACATCTGCAAGTTCTGCATCAAGCCTCTTCACAGAGGGGAATGTTTCCAGAAATATCACACTCTAAAGCACTTGTAGGAGCTCTGGTAAGTCTTCTCCAAAAATTTTATTTCATAAAATTAATTAGGATTTTATATCAATTTTTAAAGTGAACAGTGCGGCAGCGCTGTTACGCCACTGCTGGCGTGGGAGGGGGGCATCCTGCATAGCGCAAATACGTCACAATACATAGATTCTGCATGACTGCCTTTCTGATGTTCATCATTCAGTAAAATATCATTCAAACAAAAGTGTGATCTGAGGTTCTCATAATCTAGATGGAGGCAGAATCTTCTCCTAAGATACTGGTAAATATCAGGCCATATGTCATCATATCTAAAAAAAAAAAAATTAAACTATATTCCAACAAGAATTGCATATTCTTCAAGTATTTTCAACATCAATTTTCAGGACTCTGCATTAAGTAATGACATTGTAGAAGCTGCTATATTAACATTACTGATGGTAGAAAATTGAAAAGTATAAGGGCGAGGTTGTGACTATTGGCATCAGTTTAATACTAAGTACCATGAAAATCCATTGTTGAAAAGTCATTAGGTGAGCTAGAGACGATACTGTAATAAACCTATCCTTTTTTATAAAGCAGGGGAAGTTAAGAACTCCAAAACTCTTCTGACATGCTGTAATTGTGTTCATATTGTAGTGTCATCTGTTAAGTTTAATAATCCTCTGATTCTCTTACATAAAAAAATCAGAGGTCTGATCAGTAAAATGGATGAAATAATTGTTTTTCTAAATGTAGTCAAGATTAGTCCACAATTTCTCTGTTTTTCAGAGCATTATATGTCAGACAGCAATTTAAGTCTTGTTGATATTGAAAATTATGTATTAGGGTCTTACTACTCTAGATGTAGGTACCAGAGTGGTGGTATTTGTATATTTGTTTGTAAGGAAATATGTTTTAGTCATGTTGATTTATCAACCTACTGTGTGGAAAAAATTTTAGAATTATGTAGAATCTAACGGTCTGGGTTTGGTTGTTGTTTGTTTATACAGATCTCCTACAGGTGACTTCTGTCAATTCTTCAATCTGTTAGAACAAGTTTTGTTGTTTTTGTATAAACCATCTATTGAATTATTAATATGTGGAGATTTTAACGTTGATTATTTACTAAACGATAACCGTAAATAGCAACTGTCTGTATTACTTAACACATTCAATATGGTACATACTGTTGTGGGGACATCCCACATAGCACGCTGTTTCCACCGGTCTTTTAGACCACGCTCACTCCTTAGTGAACATCACATTGCCGGACGTTTCATTCATATTTATACCAGCACGCACTGCAAATTTCCGCTAGCCAATCAGCACTATGCAAATTGTTGCTCCTCAAATGCAAGTTTCGCTCCACCCACCGAGCATTGTATAAAAGGCAGAGCACAAGCTCGCAAGTAGTCAGTCTACAGTCGGTACCACATCAGTCTACCATCAGTCTTCAATCAGTTCCACAGCAGTCTTCAAGCAGTCTACAAACAGCATGCTTTGTAGCCAGCGCTCGGTCTTCGGAGGAATCGGCACTTCGCTGCGCCAGGCACGACTGCCTCAGCTGTCCGGCGGTCACACTCAACTCACTGGGCAACTCAGCCGCCTCAATTCGCTGGTAGTCATGCCCGACACACTGGGCAACTGGCGTAGCTACCGCCTCTCCACTCCTGCGACCGTGCTCAGCAACCAAACAACCTCTGGCAACAGCCGCACTGCAGCCAGTCGACTGACTCAGCCACCTCAACACACCGCAACCAACATCGCTTCCTACTGGCGCACACAGCGCTACTTCACCGGCCACACATCCCAGCAGTCAACGGTCCTTTTCAGGACCTACAAACTGTTCCAAAGAAGTGGGTTGTCATTGAAGTAATGACAAATACCCCACACTGTTAATTTCCTGACTAGACTGCAAAATAATCACTCTTCAGCTATTGACAACATTATCAAGATTATTTTCTTGTATAACATTACCCCTATGTGATGCACTGTCTGATCATGAGGCACAATGTTTCATACTTGATAAATATTTTGCTACTACTGATAAAATTAACAATAAATCAAGATCTAGTTATAAATCTGGATTGCTGACTAGTGAAACTATTAATTATTTCACTGAACAGCTATCTTATGAAAAATGGAATGAAGCTTATCTTAATACTGATGTTAATTGTACTTGTAATAAATTTTTATCTATATTTTTAAACATTTATGAAGAAAGTTTCCCTGTTGTCTACTTGAGCAATAAAAATGATAAAAGTTGGATTACTACTGGTATAAAGACATCTTGTAAATGTAAAAGATTTTTATATAAGTGAATTGAATATAGTAATGATCCAAAAGTAAAAACTTATTATAAAAAGTATTGGCTTATTTTAAGGAAAGTAATTTATGAAGCATAAAGCTTATATTATAATCACAATCAGTTAATTGAAATTTCTAATAATAGAAATAAAACAGCATGGAATATTATAAGAAATGTACTCTATAAATCCACCAAAGACAATTATATGCCAGTTATGTTTAAAATGGATAATAGGAACATTCAATCTAAAGATGTAGCTGATGCTTTCAATGAGTATTTTTTGAATACTGCTCATAGTCTGCAAACACATCCAGATAAAACTAATTCACCTCTTTAAATTATTAAAGAATGCTTATCAGCCTATTTTTCAGAGTATGAAAGTAATTCCTGTAACCAAAGGAGAAATTATCAATATAATTTGTTCTCTGAAATCAAAGAAGCCCTCTGGTTATGATGGGATTTCATCTAAAATATTAAAAACTTTGTAGCGTCTTTATAAGTGCGCCCCTTTCCTACATCTGTAATATGTCTATCATTACTGGTGTATTTCCTGAACGGTTGAAGTATGCTGTTATAAAGCCCCTGTATAAGAAAGGAGATAAGGTTGATATTATGAACTGTAGACCTATATGTATGGTGACCGTATTTAGTAAATTTATGGGAAAAGTTATGCATCGTAGATTGAGTCAGCATCTGCAAGTCAATAATATTCTGGTGCAGAAGCAATTTGGCTTTAGGAAAAATTTCTCAATAGAACATGCTGCTTTTTCTTTTACGACCGGCATACTTCAGCCCCTGGAATGACAAACTGCAAATGACAGGGATTTTTTGTGACCTTGCTAAGGCTTTTGACTGTGTTAATTATGAGATATTGACATCTAAACTAGAGTATTATGGTGTCCATGGTTGTCTATTAAACTGGTTCAAATCATATCTAGTGGAGAGAAAACAGAGAGTGTATGTGTACATTAAAACTAATGATGGTCAGGACTATTTTTCATCTTGGGAAAGTTAAGCAAGGGGTTCCTCAGGGGTCGGTTTTGGGACCACTTCTGTGTATTATTTACATTAATGATTTGCCTCCATACATTAATAAACTGGCTAAAGTTTTTCTTTGTGCTTACTGGTAATAATCATGCTGAGCTTAACCATAGTCATGGGTACACTGTCTCTTATTGTATATTGGTTCACAGCTAATAAGGTGGCCTTAAATATCACTAAAACTAATACTACAGTAAAATTTGGTTATAGCAACATCGGTTTCTGCGACACCTTGTCTATTGCGTCAAATATTCAATGGTACGAACTAATTCCTCATAAAGCAACTGTTTTTATACCTTGCTTAGTACGACATGCACAAATGCATCAACCTCGTATGTAACGTCATTTTCATTCCTGAATTTCTCTGATATGGACATTGAACGTAATTTAGAAAGTGTGTATTGGGCAAGTAACAGGAAACAGATGAAGATAACTGATTACTGTACTCGTATCTAGGTACAGTAAGGCACAACAATTGATGTAATCTACTGTAATTTGGTGAGCAGGCCTACCTTTAATATACAGTATTAGTGCGGTGTGTATTGTCAGTGAAAAGCGCTGTAATATGTCTTTGATATTACACATTTGGGCAATTCCACGTTAATGTTACGTTAGTCTGTACTTAACTACGTATTTCACTAAAAAATGCAACATTTTAACTCGGTTTTTGGTAGATTTTTACGTGACTAACATAAGGCTACTGTGGAAGTGCCCATTTCGGTTACAACGACATTCGTTTATAACGACACTATTTTTAGGTCCCTTTGATGACGTTATAACCAAGTTCTACTGTATATATTATTAGATTTGCTCTAAAACAGTCTTATAACTCTCTGGCAGTTTGATTTGTTTCATTCTGGTCCGTCACAATAACAATTACAATTATAAATCACTCCGTCCAATGTGACTTGTAAGTTTTTTACTACATAAAAACTTAACACCCTTACATGTTTCGGTCTCTGTGGACCATCTTCAGAGGGCAAACATCACTACAAATAGGAAACCACCATCACATAATTTGTTTACACGTAAAATACGTACACTTATATGCTACAATACACAGAATAGAACATTTCACAAACACAGCAGTTTCCTGGGAATGTAAAGTTTTTAAAAAATTGTATAAAATTCCTTGATGCTAATTAAAAGTTCTTTAGATTGTCAATAATTAAAATTTGTAAACCATGCAGGCTCGTGTTCGTCCTCCCATCGTCTCTCTTATATGGGGCAGATATTGTGCCACCAGGCTATCTTGATGTGGAGGTTCTTTATATCGTGCCGGGTTTGC